AAATACCCATCACCTTTACACCAAAACGGAAGTCTGCTCCATTTCTCCAGAAAGATCATCATTGTTACCCATATTTCTCTCCATTATCAAAGCTTTTTAGGGTTTCATTGTTATCAGAATATCGATTAAAGAAGAAGATGATAATCAGTATTGATAGTGTAAGTCGAATAAAGAAGAAAATCATCACAGATAAGGTATTTAGAGTTTTGGACTAGATTTTGAATTTTTTTCCTTTGATTTCTTAGTTGAAATGACTTTATGTAACCTTGATTTTATGTAGGAGTGAAGAATGGCCTCATCAGATGAAGAATGGAGTGACCCATTTGTTTCTTGGAATGAACCTTTCACTGGGTTAAACGAGATGGACTTTCAACTACATGGTATTTACATGGACCATGAACCAGAGGATGAGTTCATCACCACACTAGATAATTATTAGGAAAATTTCTTGAATGTATTACTTAATGATGGTAGACTACGTAATGCAAGTATGTCTGATTAAATGAGAGCACGATTATATCATGAAAATGACTGGGAAAGTGATAAAGATGATGATGAAGAAGTACAACCTAAGTATAGGGTTATTGATCCCAACATCAGGTGGGACAAGTTGGAACCAAAACTTGGTGATATATTTGAATCCTCCAATAAACTTAAATTCTATGATGCAAACTATTCTGTGTCCCATGGGTATCAAATATATTTTGCTAAGTATTATAATGTTCGAATTGTTATAATTTGTGAGAAAAGAAATGAAGACAACCATACCCCTTTCAGATTGCATGCTTCTTGGATGTACATGGAAAGGTCATTACAAATCAAACCTATGACTAGGATCCATAAATGCTATAGGTTATTCACATTTAGTTCAATTGTGTCTCCTGAATGGATTGGGAGACATTACATGACTGAGATTGCAAACAAGCCAAAGATTAAGCTTATGGAAATGATAAATGATATTTAACATACATTTAGATGTGATGTGTTTATTGGCTAATATAGGAGGGACAAATGGGCAAAAGATTTAACTGAAGGAAAGTTAACTGAACATTATGCAATAATATGGAACTACTCCTATGAGCTATTAAGATTAAACCGCGGGTCTACTTCCAAAGCTGGTGTCATCAACAACCCCGAGGGAAAGAGATATTTCCATAGATTTTATATATGTTTTAAGGCTTTAAGTAGTGCATGGAAAAATGATTGGTTTAGATGGATGCTTCTTGAAAGACGAGGTGAAAGGTGAACTGTTGACAACAATTGGAAGGGATGAAAAAAACAACTCTATCTAACAGCTTGGGTTGTCGTAGATGTGGAGAATAAGCCTAATTGGACTTGGTTTTTGAGGCTCATACATAATGATCTAATGTTAGATGGTGGTAGAGGTTTGGTTATCATATCAGATCAACATAAGGTACTATTATTTGCTATGTTTTGTATTAATATAAAATGTACTTATATGCTTCAGTGCTTGCTGGAAGATGTGAAAGAGATTTTGCCACATGTGGAGCACAAACAATGTGCTAGACATATTTATGTAACTTTAGGAAGGCTTACACCAGATTAGCATTCAAAAGACTTTTCTAGGCTTCAACAATGAGTTGCGTAGAAGTAGACTTCAAGAAACATATGGGTGAAATAAAGAAGCCTAGTCCTAGTACATATGAGTATTTGATGTCCAAACAACCTAGAACTTGGTGCAGATTTTACTTTACTCCAGGGTTTACATGTGAAGCAGTTAAGAATAGAATCTAAGAATGCTTCAACTCCATCATAAAAGTAGCTAGGAAAAAGCCTTTTATAACAATGTTTGGGGAGATAAGAATCTACATAATGGATAAGTTTGCTCATATGACTGATAAGTGTAACAAATGGAAATCCAATGTGTGCCCAAATGTGTTGAAAAAAATGAACCTTTGAAGGAAGTATATAAGGTATGTATTACTTAGCCAATTGCATTTGTATTTTATAAATCGATGCTCTTATGTTAATGTTATAAAATTTATGTGCCAATTTTAGGTTTTGGATGGTTATTCATAGCCAAGGTTTAGTGTTTGAAGCTAGGTTCAATTATGAAAGTTTCAAGGTAGACTTGGAAGCCAAGACTTGTACATGCATGATTTGGGATCTTTCTAGAATCCCTTGTGTTCATGAAAATGCTTCCATTAACTATATCCGTAAGACAACTGATGAATATGTTACTGAGTGCTTCTCAAAAGATAGGTTTATTGAATGTTACCAAACTAACATAATGCCTGTCAGTGGGAACAATTTGTGGGAACAAAATCCATTCCAAAATCCTTTGTCACCAATAGCTAGGAGAATGCCATGAAGACCTTCCACTAAAAGAAGAAGGCATTCATAACTGTGAGGTGTGGTAATTGCTTTGAATTGGGAAGTTACAAACAAAGTTGCACAAATGAAACAAGGCTAAGAGTTCCACAAGCACCCTAAAGTTGGGTAGGGCAAGAAAAAATCAGGAGGAACATGAAAGTGCCACAACTGAAATTCCAATGAATCAAAATGTAGATCCTAATCAAGCATTTGGTTTTAGGAGAAGTTGATGCTTGAAGAACGGACCACACTTTGAAAGTGATTCTTAGTAACATTATTTTTTTAGAATGTATTACTGTCTTTGTTACATTTTGATGTTTTTTTTCCTGGTTTGCTTTTTTTTTTTTTTTTTTTTTACTTTTATTCTTTAACAATAAATGTAATTCTTAACAATTGTTAACCGTGTTCTATAAGAATTAATGTAAATTTTTGTTTTTTATTCTTCAATTGATGATTCAAGAATTTGTTATTCAACAAGAAGTTTTTAAAGTCATGATCAAGAAATAGGTTCAATAATAATTTTTTTTTATTTTATGGTTCAAGAATATTTTTATTTTTGAATAAACTCATAAACATATTCTGTCAGAATGTTCGAATTAAAAGAATTATAATTTGTAAAATCAGATTTGTAAAATTAATAGAATCTATCATCCCTTAAAATATGTATTTTTTTATTAAATATATATTAATTGACTAAAATACCCTTGTAATTAAATTAGATGGTATTTTTTTAATTAGATTTAATTCATAATATATATTAATCACTTTCTTAAAATAAGTAAAATGATTGACCCACAATCATTCTTATATACATACAATCATTCTTATATACATACAATAATTAGTTAGAATATATATATATATATATATATATATATATATATATATATATATATATATATATATATATATACACACACAAACACAAAATTAATTTGACAAATTTGTGGTAAATCAATTGCCTAGCCTGCACGCTTGTTATATTTTCAAAATCCAATAGGTTAAGGCCATCTGGTATGGTAGAGAGAACCACGCTTAAAGGCTAATGTAACACCTCTATCCACACGTGAACACCACCCCCAATGCAGAGTGGGTGTGTTGTGGCGTGACTCCGACCATGGGAGAAGACGACGAAGCTGATTGGTTAGTGCTCTCTTTGCCTGTTCTTCTTTCTATGACCGTTGAAGATTTTTTTAAAGAGTGTATTAGATGTTTTAAATCTGTAGTTGTAGAGTAGAAATAGAGAAAAGAGTTGGACAATGTGTAGGGATGAAGAAGACAACAAAATAAAAGACTTGACAGCTTTGGTCCCTGAAGTCTTGGCTGATTACACCTTCCACCCTAAATCAAATATTTTATGCTTAAATAATGATTTTCAAAAATTACATATCATACCCTTTCAATTATCTGTTTTCAATTTCTAATATAACTTTAAATATTTATTGAATTTTAAAATTATGTTTTTATTTAATTTTAATTTACTTTATATAATTAAAATATTTATTTATGTTTAATAAGTGTGTTTTTATTTAATATAATGTGTTTTTAATTTTAAGGTAATGTGTGTTTTTTATTTAAATTGTGGTTTTATATTGTTTGATATTCAATATAATGTTAAAAAGATAAGAAAGTAAAAAAGAAAAAATTGAGTGGTAACCGTTTCCGATGTTTATTGTGTTGGTGGTGGATTGGTGGTAGAATTGATGCAGTGAATATGTGTCAGTATTTTTTTCGGTGGATTGAGTGTGACCACTCCACACAGACAGTGGGGGAACCAGTAATTTTAATATGGGTGTGTACAAACATTGTCAATATATTATATATAGTTATCCAATATTGGATATTAAAAAACATGTTATCATCCATTTAGTTGGGGTATAATAACATGAAACATGCTTACAAATTATAATATATATATATATATATATATATATATATATATATATATATATATATATATATATATATATATATATATAAAACAATGTTTTGGGGTACTGGAGTACCCTCAACGACCTATCTAGCTCTGCCACTACCAAGAGCGTAATGATTGAATGTATCAACATCAATCGTATTTTTGCTAATAATTTCACTTCTACCTCTTTGTTAATTCCGCTGACCCAATTCATACCCATTAACCACAATGTCATTTTTTTCTTCACTAATGTAATTCCCATTAAACTCAATCACGAGTCATATAAGTTGCCTTTATTTTTGATTTTTTTTTATTATTATTTATTATTTTTTTAAGCGCAAGTCACACATAAAAAATTATTTTCTATTTTTTCTTTGTTGGTCAACAAGTCTTAAATGCAATTGCTTTTTTCTCTAACCCAATTTTAATTTATGGACTTATCATAGTATTAAAAAAATTTCTTATATATTAAAAAGTTATATTTAAGGGTCCATTTTTATATTTCGTACGATGCCTTTAAAATCAAAGAGATGACCAATCATGACAAGAGTACTAAAATATTATTAATTTTATCAAATGTGACACATATCATTATTTATTATTAATAGGAAGGTGAATATAATTAAACGTGGAATATATTCTATTTTATATAATAGTATTAACTCATATATTACTTATCAGATAGAGATTAACTCATATGGCTATGAATAAAAACAACATAAACTAACAGCATACCAAAAACCTTACTTATGTCACACAAATTCAAATTTTATTAGACAAATTTAAAGTACATATCTCCACATATCCGTCCTCATGGCACTGCCATCAAGACCAATCAGCAAACTTCATAGGCAAAGACATAACCCAAACCAACAATAGGGAAGAAAACAACATAAACCCACAACATACTAAACATTATTTTTGTCATTAAACCTCACATTTTATTCAACAAACCTTAACAGATCTCACCCTACTGCACTGGCAGCAACAGTGACATCAAACTCCGTAGGCAACAAATCCCAACGCAAACTTGGTATCCAGTCAGCTTGAAAAATTGCTAGTCGTATCGCACTTGCCACTGTTGCGCTTGCAGCTGCTGTAAAATGTATCCCTTCTCTGTCATCATGAACACAATTATTAGACGATATATCAAGTGTTTGTATTCAATAAGCTATGTAACAAGAGTGAGGCCGCAAAAAAGATACTGATACTGATACTGATATTCGACGGGCTTTGGAACCGACTTTTGGTTCCAAAATCTGGTTCCCGTTCTTAATTTTATGATTAAGCGTTATTTTTTAATAAAATATTGTTTTTGTCATTGATATAATAAATAAATCAATTTAAATCATTGAATTACCCTTTCTTCAAATTCATGTTCTAACAAAAAGTTAATGTGAGTATGTTACTAGGATGGTTAAGCAAAACTTATGTACATATGGGCTTAATGGGACAATCTCATTTTTCTTATTTTTTCTATTAAGTCGTTTTTTTTAGTAATAAAGAAATACCATATATTAGGTCATGTCCATATGAAGTCCCTAAGATAACAAAAGAAGTAGGAACATACTTGTCTAAACACAGACTAATAAATGAAAAGATAAACTAAAATTTAGGAACAAATAAAACATATATACTTACAGAAAGCTGGTTGTCAACCAGTCAGGTCGTTGTTGAATTAAGTTGAAAAGATCAATAGCCTTTATATTCATTTCTTTGCATAAGCTTAGACAAGCATCAGAGTATATTCCGCACTTTTCGTTTTTACGATTCTCAATACTGGTTTTATAGAAGAACAGTTGTAAGATCAAACGAGAATTGATAATTAGAAGCAAGATTAAATAATTAAAAAAAACACTTATGATAGTAATATATAATCAGCCCAGAACTTCTTTCATCTGTTCCTCGTTCACTGGAGGGGCAGTAAGAAATATTAGGCGTGTGGTCTCTGAAAGGCTCTGGTAAGAAAGAGTTGGTTGTATTAAAATCAATTAACTTACGGATGTATACTAATGTGCGTTTGTATTAATACTAGTAAATGATAATTATATGTTAATATATCAAAATATATTAATTATGTGAAAATTTACCTGTAGATGGGTAGCAATGATCCTCATGTTTTGAACATATTCATCAAGTGGTACATGCGAACTTGGGACGTCTGGATCATAAAGTACTGAATCGTTACCTCCAAAATAAACAATCACCAGAGATGGTTTTACCGGATCATCCTAAAAACGAGAAAAAAAAATTAAAACAAGAATGCTATTTTCAAAAAAAAAAATAATGGGAAATAATAATATGAATTTGTTTTGAAGTTGACAACTAAACCGAAGAAATTACCATTGGGAAAACTTGCTCCACTACTTCACGAGCTTGCCTTGAATTCCAACCAGAATATCCTCGCATGAATACATCTGCCTATATATATCATTTGCAAGTGATCAAAGAGATTTAAATATGTACAGAAATTAACAAATACATGATACAAGTATCGAATAACTAATCACATTTAATGCGTCATAAGATTCTATAAAATAATGTAATTTAGTACTCTTTATAAGGTCATACGATTCTAAACCAACCCCAGATGCCATCTGATCATCCTAATGGATTATATATATATATCAACTTTTTAAGAGATGTGCTGAATTAATGACAAGTTTGAGCCTTAAGTTGTGAGCTACAAATAACTTCCATGCACTCCATCATGGTTTTGAGTTGATTATGAGGTTATTGGGCTAGTTTATAATATTATGGATAATTAAGTGGTTTATAAGAATATAAATATAAGAAATATAAATCAGATTTAAAATCCAACCTTGCGAGCGTAATAGTGTGAAAGATCCGCAGCCCAGCCTTCTTGAAAAAATCCCAATTGAACGATTGAAGAACCGAACAACACAAACTGTGGCCTCGCTGGTCCGACCATTGTTTCAAGCTCTACTAATTAACCTCGGATCACTTCCGCAGGTAACAAGTGTAAAGTGTTGTGTAGTACTGGGGGTATTGCGCTTGGATTTATAGGGTTGAAGTGCAGACCATATGCCACCTAACACCGACTGGTTGAAGAAGTATATTTGTTTTTTGAGCCAAGTCGTATGATTAATTCGATTATAATAAATGATTTTATTTAAAAAATGGATACCCATTTCATCGGTTTGATATTGTATTATGTATATAAAAATAGGGATAGTCGTTGAGAGAAAATAAGAAATGAGAAGTGTATACACAAAATGATCAATAAAATAATCAGTTATTTAATAGAATAATTTTAGGAAAATATATTAATTTGGAAAATAATATGTATTGTCTATTAGAGCTAGACATTATTTATCATTTTGGTTTACAAAATTAATCGTTTTCTAATCAGTACAAGAAAATTCCTTTTTAATGACCAATTATTAGTGACCACCTAAATTACAGTCATTAATATGATCATTTTTTTAACCGGCAAATTTTTTAAATAATACCACTGCTTAGCAAGTTGCTAGACGGACAGGAGAACAACAAAAATACAACTAGCGTTACAACATGATTAATGATCTCACACACAACTTAATGGGCATATACACCATTCAGCCCATACGTAACTATAACTTGTTCTCATATGCTTTAACCAGGTGTGCACTAAGGATTTAACGTCATTAAAATTCTTTAACGGGGAGGTGCTTACATTCTTAAACATCAAGTCGATCACATCTCGATCGATTTCCATAGTAGCCATATCGTACCATAGCAGATACTAATGAAATTATTTCTCCTTTTCCTACATCTTCCCCAGTTTTTAACAAAGTTGATAAGGTCTCTAATAGCATGAAACTGGGGTTGAGAGATGGCACACCACTTGAACACCAACTTCCATACTGTAACCGTCGCAGGACAGTGAAGTAAAATATGTGCAGCATCTTCGATTTCATGTGAGCATAGAAAACATCTCTCTTCTATCCCTAGCACTCCCTTTCTGATTAGTGCATTATTGGACGGAATTCGACCGAGATTAGCTCTCCATACAAAAGCTGAGACCTTGATTGGGATGTCATGTGTCCAAGGAATAATTACATCATTAATCGCCGGTTCCATATTATCTAATTTGGATATGATAAAGCCTACATAGTAGTCCCCATCTTTTGTTAAGGCGCACCTCCATATATCCTTACCTGCTGTTGGGCGAAAGTCTTCAAGGGCAGTTAAGAGCGTATGAAGGCTATGTATCTGATCATCAGTTGTAGGGGGCGATTTCCATTCCCACGTTGGACCTACCAATTGTACCCTCTCCTTAATCGCACATGATTTTCTTCTCTCCAATTGGAGGGGATTTAGCTTTAAAGGGTTCCCCACCACACCATGCGTCCATCCAAAAGAGAGTGTCATCACCTTCTTTAACCTATTTCTTGAAAATATCATTGAAGCTGAGTCCCGCCTTCTATAATTCCTGTATTACCCCTGCAAAGTTATTCCAAATGCTTAGGATAGTTCTTTTTTATAGTCTCTCAGCCAGTTTACCATTTAAATTATGAATACCCATGATTACTCTTCTCTAAAGTGATGTTGTGTTATTCTTCAAACACCACGACCATTTAACTATCATTCCAAGGTTAATAGCACGAAGAGAACCCAATCCCAAACCTCCTTTCTCCTTTGGTGTGATAACTTTTTCCCATGATATTGCAAGGTTAATATCATCATTCAGTGACCATTTATTAAGTTGTCATTGAATTTTTGTAATACTACAAGTTTAGTGACCAATTCTATGATGGTCGTCACTCACCGTTCACCAACCGTAGAAAAAAAGATCATATTTTAATATCATAATTAGTTTAGTGACCGAAAATAATGGTCATTGCATTGGAGACCAAATGAAAAAAAAAAGTGGTCACTTCATTAGAGGCTTACTGACCAAAAATAGTGGTCATTGATTACTCTTCTTTATTCAAACCCACCTAAACATCATGTGGAATAACTGTGACGAAACTATATGGTCATTGAAATACAAAATGAAAAATAGTTCAGTGACCACAAAAGTGATCACTAACTATATATAATTTTTATTTATAGCGCCTAACTTACCAAACCACAAGGGTAAAAATGTAACTTAGGTCTCGTTTGATAGTTTTTGTATGGAAAAGTGTTGTTTGGGAAAGTGTTGTCTAAGAAAGTTTTCTGACTGAGAAAGAAACAATGTTGTTTGATTGTACATCTGATTGACTGTGCTGAATGATGAAAAAAGTAATAATTCAATAAAAAAATAAATTAAAAAAAAGTTATTTAAAAAAATTAATAATCCAATAAATAAAGAAAAATGCGAGGTTTGTTGTATAATTGTCTTTCCAGCCCATTCAGCCAGAAAGATATGATTTTGGGGATTTCTGGGAAAGACATATCTGACCGGGAAAGACCCCTTCTTTTGTGCAAATCAAACAGTCTTTCCGGTCCATTCAACTAGAAAGATCTGTTTGGACCTGGAAAGATGCGTATCGAACGGGGCTTACTCTAAAATAGGAGTAACAATACAAGACACGCAGACCATTACACGTGTAAACGGATGCAAACCAATTTCTCCCATTGTTTTCACTATCATTCTCATTCACCATCTGTAAGCGCTAAAGCTTCCCCAATTTGCAATTCATCATTGCCAAATCAAATTTCTACTACCTAGGGGTTTTTGTCAGCTAAGAGTTTCAAGGATCCGAAAAATGGCAATTTCGGCTATCAACATTGTTTATACCCAATTCATCATGTTATCAACAAAGTCCAAGAAGAATTCATCAAAATCTGTGGTCCTGGTGAAAGCCTTACTGATTACTTACGATAATGTTTGTCCCCACATCTCCTTCCACGGACTGGCACTGTCACCTCCTTCCCCACATCCTCCTCTCTCTTTCTCTCTCTCTCTCTCTATATATATATATATATATATATATATATATATATATATATATATATATATATATATATATATATATATCCGGTAAGAAATTTTTTTTGGTAGGAAGGTAAGAAGTTTTTTTTTCTACATATTGTTTTGACGAACAAAATAAATGAATCACTACATGATTCATTTGTAAGATGATTCACAAGAAAAAAATCCCAAAAAAACATCTTTATGATTCATTTTTAAGTAAATTAAGAAAAAATTCATTTTTATGATAATTTTACTGAATAACAACAAAATCATTGTATAAATGAATCATCGAGATGTTTTTTGAGAAATTTTCTTGTTAATCATCTTACAAATGAATCATCTAATGATTCATTTTGTTTGTTCGCGAAAAAAAATATGTAGAAAAAAAACTTCTTACCTTCCTACCAAAAATTTCCTTTTTATTTGATCTCGACTATATATATATATATATATATATATATATATATATATATATATATATATATATATATATATATATATATATATATATCTTAATCGGTTTTCCCCTTGTGATTTCATACATTTGTGAGATTTTGAAAGAAAGCTACATGGACAGTTGAATGTATGTTCTTGTGATCAACATCTACGGACACAATTCATCATCTCCCCCATTCAATAGAATGTACACAATAATTGTTCGAAGAAATGCTTACATGAATTGGGAGTGCATTTTGAGTATATCTATCTTCCTCTATTCATAATTGGTGAGATCTCTCTCTCTCTCTCTCTCTTCAATTTGTTTTACTCAGTCCAGGTGTAACAAACTCATCCTAATTGTACATTAGTCAAGTTTCTTACCATGTTATATATAATTCATTGGGTAAAGAAATTACAAATTACTGATTCTGTGAAGAAAGTTACAATGTAGAATCTTGGGAAGATGGGCATCTGATTCACATTTGTAGTTCTATGTGAACAAAATTTTTGCATGTTCAAACATCAGATGAACTATAAAAATCAACAAAATGTTGAATAGGCATAGGATCCATTGGATTTGGATCGTATTTTGATAAATTGATTGTGCATGATTAGGACGACATTGTTCCCACATTAAACGGATGATTTGTATGTGCTTGACATGATTAATGAAGCATACAAATGACACTTGTAACCTTTAGCTGCTTCTCTCTTTAATCATTACTATATTCTTCAGTTGTTTACTTGGTTTCTTGTTTGTGGTGTACAGACTTGTTATTGAGTCACATGGTCATGGCCCATGATATGATGGCTGATTTATGGACAGATGGGTACATTCTTGTAATCATAAACTTAAGCGTTGTTGGTCTAAGTGAGACTTAGGTCTGTCAACTATAAGTAATTTAAACTTATGTTGATTTTGTATCTGTTTATAGTTTTCCATTAAATTATGCAGAAGAGGAAGAAGAATCCAAAGGAAATGTCACTTTCTCCTTAAATAATGGACCAGAATATCATGTCTCCATGGTTTCTAGACTTCATCTTGTTGCTTTTCCTCTTTTTTGGATCTCTACTTAGATTGTTGATGCCTAAACAACTTCAAAGATTCATGTATGTAGGTCATAAGTCATAATTTATGTTTTTGTATTATCTCTAAAAAGAATTTCATTGTTTTCTTCATAATTTTTTCAGGTTCTTGGATGCAAATACCAAAATAAATTGCTTGAGATTATCGATTCCATGTAATCACATATGTTTTCTAATTATTTTGTAACATAAACATTTAAAAAATATTTCAATTCAAATATTATTTTTTTACAGTGAATTACCTGATTTTTTGGGTGGCGGTTGTCTTTATCTGATAAAGGGCCATGGAAGAATCCTGAAATCATGAAGGTTTTATTTTTATTTATTTATTTTTATTGTGTTTTATATTTTCTTATATAGTTTTCTTTTAACAGTGAAACAGGACGTGCAAGATAGGTGGTTAAAGTTTAAAACAATGAAAGAAATTTTGTAGCTTATGCTAAGCCTTAATTACCCATGGTTAGTTTTTTTAATCTTGTTAATGCTATTTTCCTAGAAAATGTTGAATTTATTTTTTATTGTTTTGAGCAGCTAAAAAGCGGTGATATGTTGACAGTTGAGTAAAGATCAAAATTTGAAGATATTGCACCCCCGAAAGCAATAATGAATTATTCCCATCTTAGGTTTGCTCCAGTTCGTGGAATTGGTGAACTTTGAATTGTAGATTATTTTATTATATGTATTATTGTTTATTAATTGGGTGTGTTTGTTTG